GGTGGATCTTTGGAGGGGGGGGAAGCATATATATATATATATGTATCTGTATATGTATATGTATCTAGATATGGGCTTTAGGGCCTTAGGAGCTCGAAGTTTCGACGCTCACACTGACACTTGTACAAGTCAGCTTTCTCTGACTACGGCGACTTGCGGGATAGCCAACCACCGTGCAATCAATGCAGTCTGCGTGCTTCCATATAGTATATACTGAGGACTAGAACCGAAGCAGGAACCACTTCACTCCAGGCCTAAGCAAAGACTTTGTGGGAGTAAAGACTTTGTGGGCACGTGGAGACTTGGAGATTCAAAGCCAAGGCCAGACACGATCATCGGAAGTAATTCGGTTGTAGTCCCGCAAGTATGGGATTGGTGCAAAGCAGGAATGAAGGAGATCACAACGACGGCAGGACCAATTGCCTTCGCTCCCCGTATGTCGTCTTCTGACCCTCAATGGCTGTGGCTTTAGCAACTCTTCGTCTCAATCGCTTGGCAAAGGTCGAGGCCGGAGTGTGCCGCCCGGGTGTTCGGCGCCCGAGCGCTTCACAATGCCCTGAACGCCAAACCGTAACTCCTATACCCTATATAGGCCTCTATGATACACCCCATACCCAGCACCCTATAGTCTCTACCCTACCCTTCAAACCCTGCCACTGCCCTACCCCATATAGACCCTGTGAGATCCTGTGAGTACCCTATGCCCTCACAGCGCTGTAACCTACAACGAGAAAGCCCCGGGTCTCGGGACGGCGCAGCCCAGGCAAGCGACGAAAGGTCCTGGGGAACCTCAATCTGATCAAAGTGTAGTGTGTTACCTATAGTATCCATTGTAGTTCCGTTTTTTGGTTTAACCATTTTTATATTAAGGATCCTATGAGGTAGCCCCCAAATGGAACTACGATGGAGACTACAGGTAGGGTATATAGGGTATCGGGTTGACGTGTTAGGGTTTGTAATAGAGGTTAGGGTTCAGTCTAGGGTTCAGGGTTTTTGGGATGTGGGACTTAGGCGTTAAGTGGTTGACCGGTGTGGGCTCAGGATTCACGGCTTTCGGGGTTTGAGGGTTCAGAACCATTCCCGCCCTGTAGGAGTTGAGTTCAAAAAATGCCTACAGTCTCCATTGTAGTTCCTGTTTTTAGTTGAACCAATTATATGTTGAGGATTTTATAAGGTACCCCCCAAAAGGAACTACAATGGAGACTACAGGTGGTTTATAAAGGTTTCTGGAATCAGGGTCTTTCAGGTTTCTAGGAAAAGGCCTCCAGGCGAAACCGGGTTGAGGACCCACAGGGTTTGGCGTGCAGATTCGGGTTTCAGGAAACCCTAATATATAGGGGCCTTAATTCTTAGAATAGAGCCTTGGGCTCCTCCCTAAACCCTAAAGAACCCTAAAATCCTATAGTATACTTATAATAAGGAACCCCCAAAATATGATAGGTACTTACTTAGGCCCCTAGATTAAACCCTAAACCATGTACCCTAAACCCGTCGGCCGCAAGGCTGCAAGGACCTCATTCTTTCACTTAGGGGCTGAGTACCCTAGCCCAAAAAAGGTTAACCTTTTGTGTTATGGTAGGATTATAAGAGCCCCAAAAGGTTAAAGGTTTCCTACTCAGCCACTAAGCTCAAGTCGCTGAGTCCACACCCGACAGTACAGCGGCTTTGCTTCGACCCCGCTGAGCGTTGGTAGGATCTGGTATCTTGGAGCCCAGCGCACGACATAGCTGCAATAGAGCCTAGACTGGGATGCTCTTACCATAGCTACTACAACACTAAACCTCAAACAAACCCTAAACCCTGCACCCTACATGCTTAGGTTTGTTTTAGTTTTCGGATCTGGGCTCGACCTATATAGTCTCTAGTTCCGTTTTTTGGTTTGAGTCATTTGCTACTTATGATCCTACAGGTGACCTCAGGAAGGAACTAGAATGGAGACTATAGGCAGAACACCCAACCCTTGTTTTTCGCAGGCCCTAAACCCCCCAAAAACAGCTTCTTGGCACTCAGACCAAGCCAGAGAGACCCCAAGGCTTGCAATGTGAGAGGGTTCCTAGAAAATGTAAGAGACAATTGGGTTTTGGATTCACGGCTTTTTTCCTTGGATAGCCCTCAGGGTTTACGCTCTCACAACTCGGGGCGAGGTCCAAGGCTCGTCAGGGCTTAGGCTTTAGGGTTTGGGGTTTCGGGCATCACACCAGGGGTTTCAGTCTTAGACATGGGTGGCTCGCACGATGACCGCTGGGTTGGAAACAACGACAGCCATGTTCGCCCAAATCCCGGATGGGAGTCTGGATTTGTAGGCATACAATGCTCACCAATGCTCCGCAGTGTGAGGTTTCGTGGCACATGGCGATGGAAAGTAGCATCGCACTCCACTAAGATCCGGGGAACCCCTGGGTGCACCTACCTAAACCCCTAGCGTGCCCCGACCTCGTCCAAAGCCTTCGATCCGAAACCACCGGTGAACCCGAAGCTTTCTATTGAAAAGTCTCCGGCAACCTGCTGGGATGTGGACAGATCCAAACGAAACCCGCTTTGCTGCAATGTCGAAGAGCAGCCTTCGTACCAAAGATGAGGGGAAGAGTTGCGAGCAGGACAGAAACAAGTAGCGCGTGCGCAAGTCGGCATAATGCTCTTACGTTGAACCTAGCCCACCGACCATCAACATCAGTGCCATCAGTGCCATCAGCAACATCAAAACTCCAAGACTGTGAAGGCCAGGCCAAGCAACGACTGTGGCAGGCTGAAGCCCGGAAGTTTAGGGCTAAGGAAAATCAAAGGCAACCAACTTCACCGTTAAAACAGCATCACCAGAGCTAAGCAAACGAAACAAACTAGGCCAGGGTGAAGAACAGGGTGAGACCACAGAACATAGACGCCACCATGATATCATCACTTAATTGTACTAGGGCTTTGTTATGCGCCAAGACTTGCTGGCTCAAGGTTCGACAGGCTGTGCTTAGGACCTAGCTGTACCGGCCACGCATTTTGTACCTGCCATTAGCATCCACTGCGAGACGTTTACACCCCACATGCCCAACACCGAAGGCGACAAAACCCAAACTAGTCCCTGAACCCTAAACCCTAAACCGTTGAAAGGGTCAGGTGTCCGACTGTCAGGCCCTAAACCTAAAGCCACATCCCGAAAAAGTACACCACCAAGCTCAAAGCCTACTGTAGAGGCCTTAATAATTAGAATAGGGTTTTGGGTATATTCTACCCATAATTATGATAAGGAATCCCCCCCCAAAAAAAATAGTATAGGTAATTATGGAAGCCCCTATAGTACGACCCAGAAAGGTCCTGTGTAAAGGTCCTTAACAACCCGTGCGTTCCTCACAACCCTCATGCCCGAACCTCTGAATCGCAAAGCCTTCGTCGACAAACCCTAGGGTCTAGGGAGTTTAGGGTTTAGGGATCCTGTGTGCAACCAAAGACATAAGTCCGACACCCTGAACCCTTGACATACACTAAATAGGACTTGTTTAGCAACTTTGACGGGATATCATGACGAGACCTCCAGAACTGTTTCCCGCTCTAAATGCGGCAACTTCTGGGTGTACGCGCGAGGTGATGCGGCGATCCCGGAGGCTCGCGACCTTCATCGGTCTTATAGTTGCTAACCGCATTATACAAGTATTGTGATGATTGAAATTTCAACTTATGATCCGCATGATGCAGCTAGTAATCAACTCTTGTGAATATTATAAACCTTAATGTAGTGTTACGATTGCCATCACCATTACTAGAACCATGACTTTTGCGATTGCTGCTGCCATGGCTATGACAACTATGATACTAATTGCTACGGATATTTTTAAAGTAAGAACAAGGTGGCGCTTATTATCTACTATAATCTACTATTCTGCTGCTCTTACGCTTGCTACCTGACAAAACTGGAGGCGGCGGCGGTGGTGGTGGTTTTGGTGGTGGTGGTGGTGGTGGTGGTCGTGGTGGTAGTAGAAGTAGCGGTGGTAGCAGTAGCAGCAGCAGCAGCGGCAGGAGGATGAGTAGTAGTAGTAGTAGTAGTAGTAGTAGTGGTGGTAGTAGTAGTGGTAGTAGTAGTGGTAGTAGTAGTGGTAGTAGTAGTGGTAGTAGTAGTGGTAGTAGTAGTGACAGTAGTGATAGTAGTAGTAGTAGTAGTAGTAGTAGAAGTAGTAGTAGTGGTAGTAGTACTAGTGGTAGTAGTAGTGATAGTAGTAGTGATAGTAGTAGTAGTAGTAGTAGTAGTAGGAGTAGTAGTAGTAGTAGTAGTAGTAGCAGCAGCATTAGTAGTACTAGTTCTAGGACTAGTAGCAACAGTTGTAGCTTTAGCTTGCTTGAAACTGCAGTTAATACTAACGTTGTCACGCTATTGCAAACCGTTCGTGTTCTTGATATTGTGGCTCTTAAGATTGTTGCTGTTGTTGCTGCTAGTGTCGAGATTGTCAATACCGTGCATATGTCTGATATTGCTGCTTTCGACTTTTGGGTCGTTATGTGTTTCAGGTTATGTGAGTCTGGGTTCAAGAAGAAGTTGAAGAGGCTGTGTTTTCATGAAGATAGAGGTTTCTTGGTCTACTCCTTCAACCGCAACGAGGGCTTGGGTAACCCTAAGGGTCCGTGTACCAGTAAAGTATATACATTGGCCTACTATAGAGACTACTTTAAAGCCACAGTACCTACTATATGAGTACATGGACCTCAGGAGAAGATGGGATGTCTCCGGGGTCTGCAAACCACTGCCTAAACCCTCCGTAAAACTCGGGATGCCTTACCAGGGTCTGTATCATCACGGAGTCTAGTGCCCCACCGCCCACTACACGTGCCATTCGGGATTGTGGTGCCAGGATCAGGGGTCAAGATTGTGTATTTTGGGGCTGCTATATAAAGGCAGTCGAAGCACTGGGACGTTACATAAAGCAGGTTCTTACAAGAGGATCCACATTGACTGGTGCATATAGACAAGTCAGAAATTTTAATGATGTCCTAGCATTCTTGCGGGGCCTGAAGCCCACGCCGGCGTCCAACTGAACCCAACAAAAGCCCCAAAATACATCCATAGATCGCGGCTTGGGCCACTGCAGTCAAAACCCTCGCCGCTTGGTCCCCGACTGCCCAGGAGACCAATGCGAGCAAGCGCATTGGCCAAATAAAGGCCGTTCCGTTCTCTACCTATCGAGGGGGGTCTTTTGGGGTTGACAGTTTTGGGGTTTATGGGTCCGAGGTTCGGGTTTACGGCTTGTAGAAGTAACCTTGCCCAGGGCTTACGTATTATACTTGCAGGCTGCGTCTTGTTTGTGTAGCTCAGGGTCGACCCCCGGAGGGTGCAGCTGCAGAAATAAGCCCGGGCTTTAGGCCGCAGGTTTAGGGCTTGCCAAAAGTCTCCATTGCAGTTCCTTTTTGTGGTTAACACATTTTGATATTGAGGATCCTATAAGGTAGCCAAAAAAAGGAACTACAATGGAGACTATAGGTGTGATGCAAAGCTTGGGGTACGGATAATGTCATTTAGAACAACGAACGGACCTGCAACCGTATCGCCAACTGCATTGGGGTTCTACCGGGGTTTCAATCGTAAGTTGAATCAATCGTGACAGTGTGCCTCTACAGTCCCTGTACAGTAATGGCAATAGACCACGTTGCTTCTTCGAATCGTTACGGCCCGTCTGTACGTGCTTGTGGAAACGAGCTCAAAAAGGCTTCTGGTTGAAGGGCTTTAGCCTCAATAGCCCGCGGTTTACCTTGTGCAAAAAAAAAGGTACCATAATTTCATTAAGGATCCCCCAAAATAGTATTGGTAGTTATTTCGGCACCTATATATTATCCGAAGCCCTCTACGACCGGGTTGAGGAAACAGGCTGCAAAAGCCTAGGGGCCTACGGGTTGCAAACAACTAGTGCTGGGCAGCAGGAATGAAACTACGCAGGCTTGCAGCCTTGGGGCTTTCCGGCCTACCTACAATCTCCATTGTAGTTCCTTTTTTTGGTTTAACCAAGTTCCATATTTAGGATCCTATAAGGTAACCCCAAACAGGAAGTGCAATGGAGACTAATTATAGGTAGATTCTAAGGCCATAATCAGGGTCTTCGATTATCGCGGCATAGTCAGGCTTTGGCAGGCTACCCTAAACCCTAAACCCTAAACCCTAAACCCTAAGTCTAGAGCTATAGTCCGGAATGAACAGCCTGAACAGCGGATGGTGGTGTGGTGCAAACTCGAACTGCAAGCAACTATGAACCCTAAGCTCCCTAAGCCCTATCCGCACTGCTCCCTCCACCTCAGTCCCTCAACCCTATATCCCGGCACCCGTTATTCGGGATCCTACCAAAATCGCTTCAGCCAAACACCTTAAACTCAAACCGATCAACCACCCAACCCCCAAACGTAAGCCATCCAATCTTCGGCCTGAAATTTTTCAGAGCACCAATACCCTTTAAGTCGACACCCCAACCCTAATTAGGGTTGACGGTTTGGGGTACGGGCTCCAGGACTTCCGACTCAGGTCCCAACAACCTGAGTCGTCAGCACGAGCCTGGCTCGGCTTTCGGGCACAAGGTCTTATAATGCATGTCTGTATGTATGCAGGTGTGTATGTATGTGTTTGTAGGCATGTATGTACGTACGTACGTACGTACGTACTCAGGTGTGTACATATAGGCCGAATATGTAAGCACACATCTAGTATACACATTACAACACATTACATTTAATTACACAACACTTTTACATCATGTTGCATTACATCACGTTGCACCGCATCACACCCCGTTACAAGACAATTCGTTGCACTACATGGCATCATATGGCATATCATGGCATGGAACTGCATTACCTTGCATTACATTGCTTGCATGACATTGTTTACATGCAGTATGAGTCATGTTGTATACAAAGGCGTGCACGAGGCGTGTGCATGCATGCTTGTGCTTATAAACGCATAAACACACACACACACATATATATATATATATATACATATATATATATATGTATATATATAATGTACACACATGCACATGCATATGCCTGCGCATGTATGTATGTACGTATGTATGTATTATGTATGTATGTATGTATGTATGTATGTATGTATGTATGTATGTAGGCAGGTCGGTAAGTAGGTGAGTAGGTGCGTAGGTGGGTAGGTGGGCAGGTCGGTACTTAGGTAGGTAGGTAGGCAGGTAGGTAGGTAGGCAGGCAGGCAGGGAGGGAGGTAGGTAGGTAGGTGGTCGTTGTTGCATGTCCTAAAAACATACAGCATTCAGGTGTCTCGAGCTTTGGGGGTTAAAAGGTTGCGGGTTCGGCAAACGGATTTCGGGTTTGGGGTGGTCGGGGTTGCAGGACGTGGTATGCGTGGTTTCATAGGGATGGTGCTTTGTTTGGCAATCTGCTATCGCAGACTGGCGGCTAAGCAAGACTATCAGTTATGTCAACCTACAATCCAGGGACTCAACAGAAAGAGAAGAGGACGCTGTGGAAAACTAGTTGCTGACAGGTTCCCACGTGTTCGTCGGGCTTCCTAGCTGGGTTCATGGCTCCCGGGGAGTGAACTTCGTGGGCCCGGATTCCAAGATCCACCAAAAGTTTGTTGGACAGTCTTTGGACAGGGCCCGGAACCCTTGATCCAAGACGCCCCAGCCCAACGGAAAAAGCAGTGACTGAGCCCTGCACCAACGAGGGTCTTCGGTAACTGCCTCATGCGGCACGTCCTGCTCAGCTCGACAAACCTTAAACTGTAAACCCTTAACCCGAAATCAAAAACCTAGACCTTAAAGCCCTAAACCCTGACGCCCTAATCGGTAAACCCTAACTAAGCCAACAATCCTGTCCTGAACCCTACCCATAAGCTCCATTGTACTTTTTTCTGGATTACCTTAAAGGATCCTAAATATAAACCACTAAGCGGAACTATGATGAAGTCTATGGGTAGCTCCAATGCCAAAGGCTCAGAAAGAGTTTTCCAACATCGTCTTTTGAAGAACCGGGCCGGTGGGATCGGGATTTCGGCTTCAGAAACACAAAGCGTCCTAAGTACCTATAACGGTGCCTTTAAGGGTTCTTTTAAGGGTTTAGGGTTTAGGGTTAATTTCAGGGTTTCTAAGTACCTGCATACTGGAAAGTAAGGTTTCCATAAAATGACTATTGTTATGGTTAAGGTAAGCATCCCCCGCATAGGTGTGTACGTAGTCTCTACTGGACATGTAATAGGACTTGGCTATCACGCTTCCCAGTATTCCTGGCATCATACCTCCACCACTCTCTCTGGCACAGAGTCATCCCTGGAAACAGTGTGTGGCCCCGTCAATGTCCATCCTCCAATGCAGTTGGACACGCAAAAATCCAATGTTCACGTGCAGCCAGATTCCTGTTGTGCCCCACGACAACATGCGAACAGACGCCATCATGCAGAAAGCCTTTTCGAAACCCGAAAACCCACAACGCTCCCGATTTAGAGAAATGAAATCATACATCATCCCTGGCTGGAGGCTTTAGGACTTTAGGGTCCACGTTTCGGGCTTGGGGGTTGAGGGTCAGGAGTTTAAGGCCGCAAACTAGGTTTTGGTGTGCATTGGGCCCCAAACCCCAAGCAGTTGTAGGGACCCCTAAACCCGAAACCCTATAAACCCAAAGCCCTATACCCTAAGCAATGGTAGGGGCCGGGAGGGCAGAGGAGTCGAGCTCCTGATTGCGCCGGGTCTTGGCAAGCTTGTGTATGGCTGTTGCCTCAGCAGCAAGGGGGGCTTTAACGGGGGCTAGGGTTTAAGGCCTAGGGGCTTTGAAGGAAGCTTTAGGAAGAGTTCAACAAGGGTCTGAGTAGGACGGGGCTTGGTCAGATTTGGTTGAGTACGGATGAGCACAAAACTGCTGGCATACTTGGCTACAGCTACGCTAGCTGTTCTTCTTATGAAGAGTTTTGTGACTTTCATGCTAGCTTAGACAGTGCTGCGGGAGCTCCGCGTTTCAATGCGAGCATCGTCCACATGATCATAACCCTAAAAGGCCTTCAAACCCTAAACCCTGAGAGTCGTAAGCCAGAGATGGAGGTTTAGGGCCCTACGGCCGAGGGACTCAAACACACATCGGTCAGCCAACGCATACTTGTGGAAACCCGAAACCCAACATCCTTCAGTCCCCAACCCGAAACATCGCAAGCTGACAAGCAGAGCTGTTTTTGGCTTTGCCATCGCCGCTGTGGACATCAAGACGGGCTTGAAGAATCCACGTGCCGTGTGCTAGGCGGAGATCTTTGACAACCTGCATGAGTATTCGTGGTGAAAAGGCAAGAGGTTCAGCCCGCGTAGGTGTGATGCAACAACTCGGCAACCTTGCAGATCTACACAAGCAGGCTCCAAGCACTGCATGGCCCTGCATCGAGACTCGGCTACATGATGCAGAACTCTTATATAATCGAACGGACAAGCACCGGCAGTACAGGCACTCGTTGGCAAGGATGAAAAACTGCTGGCATTGTCCACCTTCCTCTTTTATCTAATCACGTCAGTCCACACATGTCTTACAAGCTGTCCATCTACAATATAACTTGAATACAGGTGCATATTTATATATGTATATATATATATATGTGTGTGTGTGTATGTATACGCATATATATATATATACCTGTAAAACC